GTGGACATGGTACAAATAGTTTGCCATAATTTCATTATTATCCAAATACTTTTTCCATTAACTGAAATATATTGTTGAGAAAGGGACTATAGCTTTCTGAAAATGTACATTTTATAATCACTATGTAATTACAATGTATTTACTCTTTGAATTTTGTCCATGACAGGGTGGATACATTTTGCTGTTGTGTGCATGTACTTGCAGTTAATTTATAAAAGTGTGGGAGCTTGACCAACATCCATTTCTAACAGCATAACGTATACTTAAAGGGGACCTATCATGCAAAATGCACTTTTGTACGTCTTTTATACATGAATATGTGTCCCCGGTGTTCCAGGGAACTCACCAAGTGTCAGAAAACACAACCCTCTCTATTTTCCTCCATACCCAAATCTCTAAAAAAGGGGCTGCAATGGATCTGATACAGACTGATCCAGATTTGAACACTTCTATGACGTCACAGAAGTGGCACTACGGCTATTGGGCCAACTCTCCACCTATCAGGGGAATGAGGCATGGCTAAAATGCATGATCTGTTTGGTATTTTGAAAACAGAAACGTATAAATATACCTTATATAAGTATGGCCCTACAATATATCATTTAAATATAGCATGATAGGTCCACTTTAATACAATGAATATGAAGTTTAATGAAAAATCAAAAAAAAAAAATTGGAAATGGGGAAGTCTCAAATGCACCGTATGGTGATATTGACCCAATATCACAGACGGCGACGAGACGGCTTACAGAGAGGAGGTCGAAAAACTGACATCTTGGTGCCAGGATAACAACCTCCATCTCAACGTCAGCAAAACAAAGGAGCTGATTGTGGATTACAGGGAGCAGCAGAGAGAGGGACACGCCCCCATCGCCATCAATGGGACTACGGTGGAGAGAGTCAGCAGCTTCAGGTTCCTCGGGCTCCACATCACTGAGGACCTGACATGGACTCTTCACACCACCACCATCACCACAAAAGCTCGACAGCGGCTCTTCTTCCTCCGCAGGCTGAAGAGGTTCAACATGGACTCCAAGATACTCTGAAACTTCTACAGGTGCACCATAGAGAGTATCCTGACTGGCTGCATCACGGCCTGGTACGGCAGCTGCACCGCCCTCAACCGTAAGGCTTTACAGAGGGTGGTGAAAACTGCACAGAACATCACCAGGACGGAGCTGCCATCCATGGAGGACCTTTACTCCCAGCGGCTCAGGAAGAAATCCCGCCGGATTATAAAAGACCCCCATCACCCCAGCCACAAACTGTTCTGTCTGCTGCCGTCTGGCAGGCGCTACCGCAGCATCCGGACTAAAACCACCAGACTCAGGGACAGTTTCATGCACACGCAATAAGACTGTTAAACACCTGAACTGTTGAAACAACATCCACAATATTCATCTGGCTGCTACTTAAAAATTATTTATCTATTTACCTAATATATCATATTTCAAAGACTTGCATATAGACTCTTATTGCACTATTTCACTATTTCAATTTTTTTAACTATTTTCTTCTTGTATTTACTATTTACTATTTACTTGCACTATATTTTTCTGTTTATCTGTGTTTTGTGTTGCACTGTTGGAGAAGCCTGTGACACAAGATTTTCATCGACTTAACTACACTGTAGCTATGTTCGTTTGACAAATAAATAACCTTGAACCTTGAACACGTCTAGAGGTAGATGAGCCTCTTCACATGTTGCAACAAATATTTTATAACCTTTTATTCTGCGTCCATGTGACTTTCCCAAACCCGATCCTTTCTCCTTAACAGTCAAAACATGTAGAAAATATTTGGCAAATACAGTGTCAAGATTATGGTATAAAATGTGCCTAAAGAAAATGTTCCAACAAGGTAATTTAATAATACATTAATGATGATAAAATTGAGATCATTACCACTTATCTGACAAGCCCATACCAGCCTGGCTCACATGGTTGGCTCACGATAAATATGAAGCAGGCTACTCCAGATCTTGGCGTTATATATGATGTAAAGACTGTTGTTCAGTCATGCTTTGTTCAGCTTAACATCATCTCTAAAATCAGATCTGAAGCAGCTATTTTCAATATTTATGTCAATGTATATAATATGGATGTAACAAACACTACAACTGCTATGGATCCATGCCAGGAGTGGTTGCTACTAGCAACATAACGCTCAACTAAAACTAACTGACTTTGGCAGCATAGTGGGCGTCAAGCCCTCCATTTTCTTCTGCATTAAGGAGATAATCACAGAGATGATCATATATTAAAAAGTAGTTCTGTCAGAATATAACTCATACTTACTGACAACTCTGCAGGGATGAGACTCAAATGCAAATGGGAAACTCACCTGATGCTTAAGAGAAGGACATACTTAGATAAAATATAACATAGTTCATTTCAATTTGACTGGCTCATTGGATCGAGTCATTGGATTAATAAATTGGATTAAGTCATGAATACAGCAGAGCACACAATTTAGGCTTTACATTTCACCCATTCTAGTATTAGAAGCAGTGAGCTGCTTTTATATACAGCGGCCTACGAGCAGTGTTGGATACCCATGTGCTCAAGGGCACCTTGGCAGTGCCAAGGAATTAAACTGGCACCTCTCCAGGTATTATAAAATGGACTGTGACTCAGATGACAGGTAATGAGAGAGACCACAAAGCACTTTGTGTTGTTGATGTTTGGTAGGACGAGTGATAATATGGAAGTAAGTGAAGCTGGACAACAGCTCTGGAGAACCTCCTATACAAAGTCTTTGCTTGGGCAACACATCAATTAGGACAACTTTCAGGCCAATGTTTGTATGGAAAGCTAATACCTGACCCTGAGCTGCCAAGCCATTCTGATTGGGGCTGGGTGAAGGAGACAACCTGTGAGAGCCAATGTAGAACACCCCTCCATGGCACACAGAGCTGCCACTAAGCATCCAATGTGGATGTAATAAAAGGGTGTATGGGCTGCAACCTCTGAAGGCTTAACCTCTGCCCTCAAGTACACTGCCATGTGCTCATGCCCAGGAGACTATTAAGCTTAGGAAGGAGTGGACACACATGATCATACTAAATAATGGTAGGGTGGGTTAGAGAGATACAGACATGACATCAACATTGCTCACTCAAATTTAACAAGGCAAATATATGTTTTGAAACTACAGAAAGAAGAGTGCCTTAAAAATATGAAAGTATCGTATGCAGATTTTGCTCAAACCAAACATAACAGCAGGGTATTTCAAAGATTTAAGATGGATTTTTGTTTGAGGAAGTGTTAAACAGTTAATAAGATGCTTTTTGTTTATTGGTTGTGTCAACTGGCCCCCAAAGTCAGTCAAAATTAACGACGCGTAACGGAGACTTGGGGACTTTGGTGCCCCCATTTAATGATCCTGGGCCGATTTGGTGTTAATATACTTTACAGGTGTGCAATGGTACATTTGAGGTTTGAATGTGAAGATGGGTGTATTCTAAACAAGAGCACCCGAAGAAGAGGAACCCTCTTGAACAGTTTTATTTCTCCCTTTGGTGTTTGTGACTAATGCTGTCATTATTTTTAGTTTATTATTTTAACTTAAGCATTAAGGTATTAATCACTTTCAAAATGTCCATTAATCATTTTGGTTTAAAAAAAAGTGTGATAAATTGAGTTTCGGGTGGTAAGTTTGAGAAACCGGCTCGAGATACACTTTTTGTTATATTCCATGGAATGCTCTTAACATCCCGATAGCAATGAATATCTTAAGTGCTTTGACAAAAAATCCATAAAAAAAATTCATCTGTGGAAGCCGTAGTACTGTAAAAAGCACAACCAATCATTTTAGCCGGCCCGGCTAAAATAACTGGATGGCCTACCTGCCTGTCAGCTTTCCATCTGTGCACAAACTTATCTCGTGCCCTCATTATTCATGTGCGTGTTCGTGTGTGTTGGAGGAGGGGCTCTGTAAGGAAGTGGCAGATTTGTTCCGGCTGTGTATTTTCAAATTCTAGCGCACTCGAGCTGGTTTCTCCAAAATTACCTAACCCACCTTTAATAATAGATAACAATGGCCAAATAAGTGTATTAAAGGTGGGGTAGGTAAGTTTGAGAAACCGGCTCGAGATACACTTTTTGTTATATTCCATGGAATGCTCTTAACATCCCGATAGCAATGAATATCTTAAGTGCTTTGACAAAAAATCCATAAAAAAATGTCATCTGTGGAAGCCGTAGTACTGTAAAAAGCATGACCAATCATTTTAGCCGGCCCAGCTAAAATAACTGGATGGCCTACCTGCCTGTCAGCCTTCCATCTGTGCACAAACTTATCTCGTGCCCTCATTGGTCATGTGCGCGTTCGTGTGTGTTGGAGGAGGGGCTCTGTAAGGAAGTGGCAGATTTTTTCCGGCTGTGTATTTTCAAATTCTTGCGCACTCGAGCTGGTTTCTCCAAAATTACCTACCCCACCTTTAATGTATTATTTTAAGTAAAAATCAATGCTAGTGGAGCCTCGCAGCGGCGAAACCATTAGTCACACTAATTGCGCTGCTTAAGCGCGCCGCATTTTCGGCTCAGTTGAGGCACCCTCCTCAAGATGAGGCCCCCTCCGCAAGGTGAGGCCCCACGCAGTCTGCATGATCGGCCTGTAGGGAGGGACGGCCCTGCCACCATGCAAGATACATCAAAATTACTTTTCAGATGTGTAATTACTAAAAAAAAAATTACAACATTTTAAATTAATATAGTCCGAGCAACGGAGACATGTGGCCTGGCCCAATTTGGTGTCATAATACTTTACAGGTGTGCAATGTTAAATTTGAAGATGGGTGTATTATAATAATAATATAATAATTACATTTGTTGTGCCTTGTAACGTTTTTTAAATCAAGTACTGAATTCAAATCAGGTTAAAAAAAAAAACAACGCTACTTTAATATTAGAAAAAGACGGCTAATGTTATCCTCTGCCAAACAAAGCAATGCCTCGATGGCAACATTGCATCAGAATTGCAATATCCGGGTACGTCATCAGCCTTTACCGGTATCCTCACTGCTGTGCTGACAGTATAAACTCACACATTGCCCAGGCGTGCTAAAGTTATCTCTCAAAGTGAGGTAGCTTTTCACTTGTTATGGCTGACCAGGCTGTCGTGGAGAAAATGAGCGAGATGCAAGTGGACGAGAAAAAAAAGGTGAAGCTTCATTCTTGAGTCTAAAAGTTATATTAGCGAGATAGCAGCTAGCTTAGCCTGTAGCCAGATTCATGCTGTCATTTATCCACCAGCAATGCGGTGCTAGTATTGCGGCTGCCTAGCTTTTATAAGTTATGTTGACTTTGCCTAAAATGTAACTCCAAAGATACCATTCATTGTGTTTAAATATGTTAAAGAAAATGGAGTCACAATTCAGATAAGCGAGCCTGGTCGGCGGGTTTGAATTGGGACATTGTAGCCATCACACTTGGCTCGAGAGAGTGCCTTACGCCAAACTCAATGCAAAATTCCGACAATCGAATGTCTCATTGTTTCTGGATACGTTAGGCAACACTTATGAACTTGCAATTATCACCTTTGTGATATAAAAGCTATCTCTTTAAAACGGGTGGTACTCCCCCAACTTTCTAATAATAACCATTAGGGATGTCCCGATCACCTTTTTTTGCTCCCGATCCGATTCCGATCATTTGATTTTGACAATCTGCCGATACCGATTTTTCCCGATCCGATCTTTATGCAATGCATTAAGAGGAAAAAAAAGGTAACAGATAACGGCTGGTCATCCAACGCGATGAATTCAGCTATCTTGGCTGTTATTTTTTTGGCCTTTTCACTGTTCTGGGGTAGTTTCTCTTTCATTTTAAAAGTCTCTGAAAGTGTCGGTTGTTTCAGTGCCGTTACCTGAGTGGCCGCTGTGTACTCGTCGTGTTGTTGTTGGTGGTGTTTGTATTAGATTGGTCGTGTTGAACGTAGCTCTGTTCTTTCCACCACGCGGAACCTCCGCCTTGCAAACATTGCATCTGGCTGTTACACTGCCTTCGCTTTCAATTTTATAATACTTCCAAACTCCTGACATTTTCTCTGTCCCGACTCCCGAGTCACCAGCTGAACGTAGCCTCTTGTTAGCTTACTGCTACTATTAGACACTGCGCCCACTCTGTTGCCAGATTTGAGAGAAATAAGCAACCAGGTCTATGAAAACAAGCCCAAAAGAAGCAACACATACATGATGTTGTGTAATTTTAACCCAAAACTAAGGCCTCAGGATGACTTTAAGACGTGAACATGGTCATTTTTGTTTTGTAACATTAAATAAAATGTATAAAAATATTTTAATAAAAAAAAAAAAAAAAAAAAAAAAGCTCCGATCCCCGATCACGTGATCGGATCGGGACATCCCTAATAACCATAGTGTGCCTTACAACTTGGATGGCTCTGTCATGTGGTGAAGACTACTTCATATACCTTTGTAAATCCCATATTGTTCTGCTTTGAGGCGATATAATTACCAGTGAGGAAGGTCTCTTCAAAATAATATATTTGTTTACAGTGTTAATATAAATGTGCCTAATATAAGTATTGCATGTTACTATTGTAATGTAAAATATTGTGTACATGCACCTTTACCATCTGTATGTATCAGGTTTGTAATTAATATCAAGGAAGTTATGTCTGAAACAGCTTGAAAATTAGCGTGTCCTATATTCACTTTCTTCTTTATAAAGTTTACTAATATTTTCTGACAGGGGGCGACTGAAGGCGGTAAAGATGGAGGAAAGAAAAAGGCTAAAAATGCTGCTGGGCAATCTGCAGGCAGGGCCGAGGTAAGTTGCTCAATTTGTTTTCAGAAAGAATGAAGAGGCTTTTATTAGATATCATAATAATGTAATGTTTACAAGAACTGTATTGTAATAGATGTATTTCATTGCATGCTCATACATCTCAAAGCAGACTCCCACTGGCTTCTTGAGCTGTTGAGCTTTTTGATCAGATACTTGTATAGTCAAAACAAGTATAAGGTGAAACCCTTCTCATCTTTTCATGTGCAATGATGAATAAGAGGTCAAATTGAATCAATGGCATTACATTGAGATAGCCCAGTTAAAGCTAAAAGTTCAAATGGATACAAGTTTTAGAACAGAAAATAGTTTGGTCATCTTAAACATGTAATGCCCATTAACACAGCAGGTGTGTCTTTTTGTTCGCACTGTTATGTCCTCAGACAAGCTGAGAAATAAAAAATATATATTGGCTAGTCTAAGAAAAAAATATTTCATTTAAATGAAAAAGACTTGACACCCAATGAAAGTTATACAGTTTCAGCATTTTTTTGTATCCTGAATTACTTTTGTTGTCTCCCTCTAGCTGACACCAGCCCCTGAGTACATAGACGAGCGTCTTTCTTTGTACACCAAGCTGAAAGCCGAGCATGACGCTCTGATGGCTGAGAGGGCTGCGAAGGACAGCCGGGCCATCAAGGTGACTCTGCCTGATGGGAAGGTGGTGGACGCCGAATCCTGGAAGACTACACCATACCAGGTGGCCTGTGGAATCAGGTCAGTGTGATGATAGGATCCCTGTCACTTTAAATTATGATATTGAAAGCCCGTTTTCATGCAGCACAACAAAGAAGGAAAACCTTAATGGTGGTTCAGGGATTTAATTTCCCAACTTTAACTGTCAATTTTATTTATAAAGCCTTTAATCCTTGTTACATTCAAAAGGCCTCATTAAAGTAAAAGTCGTAGAAGCTTTGCCGTTGGATAGTCTATATACAACAGGTGCCAAGACTGAATTAATGTTAAATTAAATGTTGATAACATTTATTTACATGACCAGACTGCACAGTAAACAAAAGGACATGTAAGCAGATATATCACTATTATTGAGTGGATGCTGCATTGCTTTATTCATTCATTGTTTTTGGGATGACTGTCCATCCCAATGTCCTGAATGCAATATCTCAGGTATCATTTGAATGACTTCTTGAATTAGCTTTTTGTATGAATTGGTCTTGCTAGTATAAATTCAAAATAATATTGATGTTTTTTACATCTACACAATGAATTGATGATTAGATTTTGAAATATTTTCCTGTTTTCCAGTCAAGGCCTTGCTGACAACACAGTGATTGCTAAAGTGAATAACGGTGTGTGGGATCTGGACCGACCATTGGAGGAGGACTGCAGCCTTCAGTTGCTGAAGTTTGATGATGAGGAGGCTCAAGCTGTAAGTCAACTCCATCCCTGGGCTGACTCATTGCTTATTTGTTTTTTCCTGCTGTAGTAAATTACTCTTGAACCCTTTATTTTAGATGCATAGTTTGCCCCCTTTTTTAAAACATATCTGCTTTTATTTGAACTCAAACGCTATGAAATGGAACAATGATGAAATATCTTGACAAATTAATATTTGTTTTAATTGAAGTGCTCTCTGATGGTACTAATTTGGAGACTGTTTGAGTCTCCCAAAGCTTATCAATTGTATACATTTCTGGATACCAAAAGAAAAAGACTGGAAACAGTAGCTTACAAATGTACATGTTTTATTACAACAAAACCAAACATACCAATCACAATCTCTTATCTAGTCACAGATATTGCATAACTTTACTCTACATCATTTCCTGACTCTGATTCTGTTCCTTAAATAGAACGCCTCCCTATTTCCCTGGAATCAAACATTGGTTATTTAATCGTACTATTTTGCAGCTGGGGTTTTCAGTCATGTTCTTGCAATTTCTTAGGAAATTAAGTAATGGCTCCAAGTTACACAATAATGTACATGCTGAGGTCATGTTCATATTGAGGGTACTTCATGCACCCTGATACGTTTTGCTCAATATAACTTGATATGAGATACATATTCATAAACAGTCATATACTATATAACTCTCCTCTGATGTCTCCCAAACAGACAATCAAGGCACTTGAGGCGAAAAACCCGACATCGGGGCGTCTGTTTGTTTGGAAGTACACATTCTAACAATTTAGCCGGTTTTCCACGTTTAAACACAGTAATTATATCCTAAAGTTAGACTTTTATTATTTGCTAAAAGAAGAAATCATAATTTCCTTTTTTTCTCGGTGAGTAATCCGGTTGTTACTTGCAGTACACATCATCCTGCGGAGTTCATTCAACGTTATTGACATGTTGTTAGGGCAGGCAAGGTTAAAGTGATGAATGAGAGGTTTACAATCAATAATAAACCTCAAAGCTCCGTGATTTACCAAGTGTCCAAGCAGCAAAGACATTAAGAGGAGACGTGAGAATGTAAAATACTGCTGCAGTATTGTACTGTCATAAAATTTGCAGCAACCGGTCTCTTAAGCGAATCACAAGACTAGCTCCTCTATTATAATCTCCATTTTCAGTTTCATTGTCTGAAAGGTGTTGAATATTTTATCTGAAGAAAAGGTCAGTTGAAGTACTGAACAGATTCAAGAGTCTCATTTTACCAATTTGCCAGCACATGCATCCTATTATTAATAAACAAAGGGATGTTTTGCACTACTATTTTTGCTAATCGGGAAATATCTTGTTTTATATTATTAAGGTTTACTGGCACTCCAGCGCACATATCCTGGGTGAAGCCATGGAGAAGGTGTATGGAGGCTGCCTGTGCTACGGCCCCCCCATCGAGAGCGGCTTCTACTACGACATGTTCTTGGAGAGCACTGCTGAGTAAGTCAAACAGGCTTTGTTTTCAGATTTGTCGGTATAACTAGTTGTGTTAATAAGCTCTTTGTTATTTTAGTTTGACTTCAAGCCTTAGCAACTGTCAGTTGGGTTCACTGTCTGGCAAAAACAAAACGGGTGGATTGTAATGACACTCATGCTGTCAAGCCTGATTTTCGTTGGGTGTGGATTTGAAATTGCATCTTCCAATTTCTGCCTGCAGGATTCTGAGTCTAAAAGCAAATCTATTCAAAACAACACCAGCGCTTTGAAAGTGTGTTGAGACGCCCTCAGAAGAAACATTTCTTCTCTGTAAACAACTTTTCACTTGACCTTTCCTGAAACAGATGCATTTCTCCCTGCTTCAGGCTGCAGGAGAGCGCGAGGAGAGCTGTATAATTAATTCTACAACCTCCCTAATGAAGTCCTTTTTATGCTAATAGAATTCTTGGAGACGATTTTTGCAAGGATATTTGACATTGCTCAAGCCCCTCAAGCCAAGGACTTTTAAATACTTGCCCATGCTTGGCTGAGGTTAGAAGTTTTTGGAGGTCAAATAATTACATTGGTGAACAAACCTTGGTCTCATCCATGATGAGAAACCCTGGCTGACTTAATTTAGCACTGTGTGCACTTTGCATGTTAATGTAGGACTATTCATTGGATGTAATGCTCTTGTTGTGTTTCGCTCTTGTTTTGACAGTGGTGTTTCAAGCAATGACTTCCCAGGACTGGAGACCTTGTGCAAGAAAATTATCAAGGAGAAGCAGCCCTTTGAAAGGCTGGAGATAAAGAAGGAAACTCTGTTGGAAATGTTCAAGGTATTTTAAAACACAAACGTGTGAAAAACTAAACTCGGGAACATCTAATAATTAGCTCAACTCTAAAAGCACGTATTCTCCTTAACAGTACAACAAGTTCAAGTGCCGCATTCTCAATGAGAAGGTGACCACTCCCACCACCACAGTGTACAGGTGAGTCGTGGCCCCATGCACTCAAATGTTTTTTTTTTGTTTTTTTTAAAACATACATACATACATAACAACACAGCCTGCTAAATCTATCACATATCAAGATATCAAAGTACCACGGCAAACTACACCAGAGACAGGACAATAACTGACAAGACGGACAAAGGGAACATCACAGAGGTAGAGCATCATCCATGGCATACACGATATGTGACCTGCTCCATCGAAATCAGTCCCGAAGACACATTTTGAGTTGTATACACTGTTGGAAAGAGGAGATTCCTAGCTTTCTAATGATATCAGGATTGTTTTTGTCCTCCAAATATTAAGCGAAATATGTCACATTATATAAGGACTGTCACCGAGTCATCATTTTGAGAAAAAGGCCTTCAAAGTTTCCTCTTCTCTGGAATCCATCGATCTGATTGATTATTAACGGAGCAAATGATCAAAGTAGTACGCAGGGAAAATATTTTCGTTTGGATTATTGTTCTGGGGGAAGCTCGCGAGTATGTATGTGTGTGTATTTTTGCGTTTGTGTGTATTGTTTATTTCCCGGGGAAAACACTCACGAGAAACACCGGCTGTTGTTATGCCTGCTGTGACGTCAAGTTACTCCGTTCTCCGCTTGTAATTATGCCGTTACAAGCTTCAAAGTTGTATTTATCATCTGAATTTGCCGAAACAAATGTAATATTACAAACTGTAACGGACCCTGCCGTGTTATCTATGATTACTATACGTTTACATTCATAATTTCAGCCGGAGGGAGGGGGTGCGGCGCTGCAGAACAGCAGAGTGGCGAGGGAGAGGTGCCTGTCATCTTCCCTTTACAAGCTTCAAAAATGTATTGTGTGATTTTGGAAATAAAAGTTTCATATTCTGAAAGCCCCAAGACTTTGTTTATTTAAAATCAAACAAAACACCCGAACTCCGAAAAACTATTTTTTTACGCAAATCCACGTTTATTTTGAAATGAGCCGTTGCGACTTCCGACTGATTTCGATAGAGCGGGTCACATATACATGATACGCGGTATCTAAACCATATCCTGCACATACTACAATACAACACATTATATACATCAAATACGTAGTACATCACATTATAACTTTATTTTGCGTTTTCAATTATTTGAAAGGGTGGAGCTCTCCAGCACTTCAAGTCACCGCCACAAAAGGGCCCCATATTTTCATTCATTTTATCGTCTTATAGCATAATCTTTCATAGGAGGAGATTTTGCCATCCCTGTCTAACACTAGGTGGGCAGAGTCTCGATAGGGGCATTGCCTCAGACTTTCACCAGTTTATTTTGTAACCGGACACGTCTGAAAAAGAGTCGATTACGTTGAGGATGTGAGGCACCGTTGTTGCGGGGCTTCTGGGCCTTTTCTATTTTATGAAACTGAAACCCTCACATCCCTGTGTCTCAGGTACATTTTGACCAACATGTTGATTCCTCTGAAAAGGAAGGCACATTTGTAGGCCCCAAATAAAAGCACAGTTTTCTTATTTTTTGAGTAATTATTATAATAGCCCTTAACGCATTAACTCTTTTAACATTCTGCATTTCAGGTGTGGTCCCCTGATTGACTTGTGTCGCGGGCCTCATGTGAGACATACAGGGAAAATCAAGGCCCTTAAGATCCACAAGGTGAGGTTTTTATTTTTTAGACAGTCATTATGTACAGCAGACGGGTTACTGTATGTGTATTTATTGCAAAATAAACCAGGAAATATTTCAAGGCCTTTAGGCTGTGCTCTGAATGGTTGCTATTAATATACCAATAATGGTTGGTATTTTGTATTACAGCTGTATTTTATTCCATTATTTCATTTCATTCCATTGCGATGTAAATACTGTTATATTTTACTATATATTTTTCTAGTTCTCTACCTGTGTTTTTAATTCTTGTTTTTATGCACCACGACACCAAGTCAAATTCCTTGTACGTGTAAACCTACCTGGTAATGAACCTGTTTCTGATTCTGAGCTTCTGATCTATTAAACACATTTGTACTATGGCCGTTAGCTCAATGCACTGCAAATAAAGAAATATCTTCAGCAATTTGACAACACACAAATCCATCGATGCACAGCTTTGAAAATAAGCACTGCAACGAACTCATAACACAACAGACAGATAAACTTTAAAAAAATACTGTTTTTAACTACTTTTTATTGTCTGCTAGAAATAGTTTCTGTTGTGATCTTCTCTATTTGGAGCGCTTGTTCTAAATGCTGTTATGTTGGTGTTTCTTTGCGTTGTGTCTATTTGAATGTGTTTTCTTTTCCTAGTATACGCTCTTTGAGCTCTCAGGGCCACCATACATTTGTCCCCATTTCTAGAGCAGCATTACTAGAGGCCTGTACTACGAAGCTGGATTTTCGCTTAGCCGGCTAAATTCAGGGAAATCTCGGGCTTTCCGGTCCTACGACGCTGGTTCTCTTTTTAGCAGGCTAGATTTCCATGGTAACTTATGCTGAGCGGCAAACCTGCTCCGGAGCAGGTTAGGTGGCAGGCTAAGAGATCAACTCAGTGAAAGCACTGCCTGCTGACCAATCAGAGCTCCGTGTGCGGAGTTTAAAGCGATCAATTCATATGACAGGAGGAGAAAGGAAATACAGTTTAAACTGCCGTTGCAGGAAAGACGACCGGCCAAAATCAACTGACTGTGTGAACGTGAAAATTAATAGAATATCCCCTCCCATCTTCAGAGCAATCTGACTATTATAACATTAGCGTTAAGAAAGCTTACTTAAATATCTGCCACGACATAAGTAACCGGATCAAAGTAACATTACGTACAGTCCGCGGCACTGTGAGTGCAGACGTCGATGTGTCCCATTATCATTCATATCATATCACATCATAATGTATCATATATTTCCTTATCTGAGTCAGCTGAGCCGTATCTGGCCGTGCAACACTCACAGTGTCACATACTGTATGCAGAAGTATTATTTTAAGCAACACATTAAATTGACGAAACACTCGAGTCAAATGTAATTAAAGTCAGATCCACTCGTGTCTTGGACGGGGCAGTGATTTCATAAACCTGTTAATGTACGCATTCAAACACTTTTTCTTTTACCAGCTGTATTCACCTTGCAGGTGCAGCTATGTGGATTTTATCCTGGGTAAAGTGTTTAAGTCATGGATGTTTAAAGTTTAACTTCCTCATATTTGACTAATATTAAAGTTCACTTTTCATTCAGGAAGTATGACGCTGCGCTGTCAGTACACTTCTCCGTGTTTGAGATTGGTCGAATGCTCCAAATACCACCCCTTTCATGTGAACGCGCACCTAACTAGATAGGACACGGCGGCTTGAGCGATCCACTTGATATCCAGCGTCGTAGTACAGTTTAGCGCCAGCGCGTATGTTTTGGATGGGGCCAACCGGCTAACTCAAACATATCCAGGTTAAGTTGAACCAGCTTCGTAGTACAGGCCTCTGATGTTGTATTCCCAAGGGATTTGGTGGACCCATAAGACTGATGAAAGCTCACATATTCTTGTTATGGTGTGCTAGAATTCGTCTACATACTGGGAGGGTAAGGCGGACATGGAAACCCTCCAGAGGATCTACGGAATCTCCTTCCCTGACCCCAAAATGCTCAAAGAATGGGAGAAGTTTCAAGAGGAAGCCAAGAACAGAGATCACCGCAAACTGGGCCGGGTAAGAAGCTCTCTGTCAGAAAAGTAGAGAAGTCTCTTACAACTTTAGAAGCAAGTTTATGTCAGTATGTTATGAAATACAGGTAAAATACTACCTTTGTAGCCAGGAATGTGTTTGTTGTGACGCCTTTTCAACAGACAAGATAGTCAAAGCCATTTCTGAACAGTGGGAACATGAAGTACTCCATTATCCTACAACTATTCAGAATGTATCACTTACTGAGTGAATTTGTAAAAGTTGGTAATTTTCATGAATTGCTATTTTGCATATCAATCTAAGAAGAAATGCTGAGAATAGCATTTATAAAAAATTAACCCGTGTCCCATTTTCAGATTTGAGTGATAATGCAGCATTCAATTAGAGGGACTTTACAATCTGTGGAACAGTTGTGTGACAACTTTTGTCTAACTGTTACGTGATTTATATTACTGTAAAATGATATGGAACTTCATTGTTATCGGGGAAGTAGTAGTTCAGGGTGTGTTTGTTGTTGTTGTTGCCAGTATAAAAGCAGGTGTGTTACAGGGATCTTAGCAGTACATTGTCAAACCCTGGTAACATTAAACATGTGCTGAGCTGTTGCATTATTTCAAAGTTAAACCAGTTTTGCCTGCGTGGTTGCTCTTTTGATTTCTCTAATCTATTTGTTCAGGAGCAAGACTTGTTCTTCTTCCATGACCTGAGTCCAGGGAGCTGCTTCTTCCTGCCTAAGGGGGCCTTCATCTACAACAGCCTGATTGAGTTCATCCAAGTAAGCCAAAGCTGTCTGATCATTGCTGGGATCTCACTCTAAACTTTAAGACTGGAGAAAAGGAGTACATTTTAGAAAGTTCAAATTGGCAGAGAGACCTGGGGAGAAGGAAGAACAGATTTGGTCCTCTCGAAGGGCTATGCAATTATAACCGCTTCACATATTTACAAGTTTATAGTTTTAATGATGTATTGCGTCATATTGTTTTTTAACAGAGGAATAGGAAAGGATTGGGTATGTTAATGATATAGCTTAATGTCAAGGTCTTGAAACTGATGGGCATATGGATAAACTCTTAGAAACCAGGTGCCAAGCATATATAATCAATTATTGCCAAATCTCTTATCTGTTCCCTCTATTCCCACAACAATGATATCGCTTTCATCACCGTGCCTACGTCAACCACCTCCCCCCCCCCCCCTTCAAGAAACCATCTGCGGTCACCGAAGCCTGATAAGAATGTGTGTGTACAAAACGCAGCAAACTCTTACTGATATGTGCTGGGTCCAGGCTCAAGGGCGTATGGCTCTCAACTCTTTCCAGCACATGCCGGGGCCCTTCCTGCCTGTAGCTTTGCCGATATCTGTGTTGATAGGTAATAGATTGAGATCGGTGAATCAGCTTAGAAACAGGAAGCACTCAAACGTTTGTGTGAGTTTATCAAATTTAGCAGTGACTCCATGTCAGCCACAGCTTGTCACAAAAAATCTTACTGATAATGTATTTAACAAACTTAAACTAGCTTTATTAAATGTCAGGTCTTTGGCAGGAAAAACATTTTTAATCAATGATTTTATCACTGAGCACAATCTCGATTTTATGTTTTTAACGGAAACTTGGATTGAACAAAATAACAGTGCAGCTGTTCTTATCGAATCAACACCTCCCAACTTTAGTTTTATGAGTCAGGAAAGAATGCATAAGAAAGGAGGTGGGGTGGTATTTTGTTTAATGATTCCCTTCAATGCAGGAAGACATCTTATGGGGACTTTGCTTCTTTTGAATATGTGGCCCTTCAGCTGAAATGCTCCTCTCGAGCTCTGTTCCTAAATATCTATCGACCACCCAAATACTGTGCAAGCTTTTTTGATGACTTTACTGAACTGCTGTCTATAGTGTGTATTGACTTTGACCGTCTAGTCATTGTTGGTGATTTTAACATCCATGTTGACAACCCCCAGGACAGAGGGGCTAAAGAACTGTTTTGTGTCCTTGATAACTATGGACTGACTCGGCATGTGACGGAGCCCACGCACAATAAGAGGCACACTCTGGACTTAATTATCTCAAAGGGTCTAAATATCTCTAAGGTTGTTGTGACTGATGTTGCACTCTCTGATCATTCCTGTGTTTTCTTTGAGACCTCTATTTCTGTTCACAAAAATGTTCAAAAAGAGGTAACCACAAGTCTTTTCACTCAGGTGTTTTTCCACAGGCCCTGAAAATTGCAGTCATTAAACCGCTCTTAAAAAAAGAATAATCTAGATGCTTCAGTAATGAACAATTACAGGCCCATATCAAACCTGACATTTCTAGGTAAAATCATTGAAAAAGTAGTTTTTCAACAGTTGAGTAATTTCTTGCATTTAAATAACTGTTTGGATGTGTTCCAGTCCAGGCTTTCGTCCAAACCACAGCACTGAGACTGCTCTTGTAAAGGTCTTCAATGACATCCACTTAAACACAGACAGTGGCAGAACTTCAGTGTTAGTATTATTAGATCTCAGCGCTGCGTTTGACACTGTTGGGGGAACAACAGTCTGTTCCCCCAACAGGGGGGGGGGGTGGTGGTGTGTGGTGTATTCGGTTTGCCGCTGCTTTAATTGATATATTCATATCTTAAGCTGCACTGTAACTTTTATTATCTTTGCTTTTTAATGCCATTTTCTTAATGTCTTTCATTTTTGTAAAGCACTTTGAATTGCCTTGTGTTGAGTCCCCCCCAAAGGTAGTTAAAGTCATTATTGGGGTTAAAGTCCCCTCGTAGGTGGTTAAAGTCCCCTACGTGTGCCGTTTTTTGGTTTCAAGACCCTGGTTCGCGGAGGACACCAAAAAAGTCCTAGAAAAGACAACTTAAACTTAACTAATGTGCATTTAAAAAAGAGGAATAGTTTTGGCAAACTAAAAAGGTACTATGGGGTACAGGAATCCGTTTTGGTTTAAGACCCTGGTTCACGGAGGATACCAAAAAAGTCCTAGAAAGACAAGGTAAACTTAACTATGTGCATTTAAAATTAAAAAAGAGGAATAGTTTCAGCGAAAACTAAAAGGTACCATGGGGTCAGATTAGAATTTTCCAAAGGGGGGGTTCATTCAGATGTGTGTATCTCACACTGCACTGTAACTGTGATTCATCTATCTTTGCTTTTAAATGAGTGTTTTTAAATGCCATTTTATATCATTGCTTTTAAATTAGTGTTTTTAGATATCATTTCATAATATGTTTCTTACATGCTATTAATGTCTTTCATTTTTGTAAAGCACTTTGAATTGCCTTTGAAATGTGCTATATAAATAAACTTGCCTTGCTTTGCTTTGGCACGCAATGTAAACAATGTGTGTCCTTCCCATTGTGCAAACCTAATGTCAAAAAAAGCATATCATTAATATTTGGAATACATTACAACATGTAAAACAAATATTATTGACAGCTTTGAAGAAAAGCTGCAGCAGTTTTGTTATAAAGAGCCACAAAATTGCTCTTAGTTTAAAGACTTACTTTCTTGATTTCCATTCATTGCAGTCCTAAAGCAGCACACGTTGAAAGCAATTCTACTTTGATGCGGTAACAATAGATTTCCAAGTATTTGTAGGGTCCGTAGGGATTTAAAATTAATTGCCTTTTTTTTTTTCTTCTCACACATCGTTTGAATGTTAACACTGGCATCAGACAACTGATGGTGCATTACCAGCGTTTAAACATTCTCAGAGGTAGTTTGCTTTTTTTAAATTCTCAGCCTTTGCTTTTTGAGTTATACATGTTTTAGAGGATATGCACTATTCATCAGCAAACCCCAGGAGTAGACAGCAGTTTAAACTGTAGGTGTGATGTGTAGGGAGCGTTATGAAGCTGAGTTGCTTGAGGTGCCAGTAGCTCAAAACAGTCGTCTTTTAAAATCATCTTTGTGAGAAAACCTTTGTTCTGTCTTTGGCAGAGTGAGTACAGGAAGAGGGGTTTCCAGGAGGTGATGACGCCCAACATCTACAACAGTAAGCTGTGGCAGACCTCCGGCCACTGGCAGCACTATAGCGAGAACATGTTCTCCTTCGAGGTGGAGAAGGAGACCTTCGCCCTCAAACCCATGAACTGCCCGGGACACTGGTGAGGCCTCCTCTTCCTCGCATTCAGATGATGTTTGAAAGCAAGAAACTAGACAAGATCATAGATAAAAAATAAATAAATAGCACACCCACTCCTGTTCCACATGGACTATCAGGCCTTGCTATGGTGTGAAATACATATTTGACTTTATCTCTGCCTCTAATGAGAGAAAAGACTCAAGGTTGTTTGTTCTGCTTCAGAAGTAAATGTGTGTGCAGCACTGATCTCAGAGTGCTGTTGTTTACCAATATTTAGTTAACCACAGTTATGGAAAACAGGGGAAATGTTTTACCACTCTTGAATAGCTTCAAAGTTTACACAGTTTTTATTTTAGTTGACACAGTTTTTGATGAAATGGATCCATAGTTCCAATAGGTTCATATTTTACTGCTACAATAGATTGTCCTCCAGTTCCACTTAACTTGAGATAGACTGACGCTCTCTTCATGTTTTCAGTTTTTGAATGACCCAGTTCAATTTACTGCTGCATTGCAGTGTAAAGAGCCAGGCTGCAGCTCTTTGTAGTCAAATCTTTTATCTCCTTTTTACCAATCTTTGTGCTATCTACATCGGCAGCCCCTCTGGAGATCACACTGAAATGGAAATTGAGCGTGAAAACACTTTGTCAATGTGTTGGATGTCAGTTTAAACAAATATCGAATGCAGTCTTCCACAGCAGTATTGAAGCAGTAGAGCATTTTGCAGTTATTGCGATAAGTCAAGGTCGAGGTAGGCAGTTGTAATTTGTGCAGTTTTTCCACAATGTCTGTTTGTCTGCAGTCTGATGTTCGATCACCGGCCACGCTCCTGGAGAGAGCTTCCAATTCGCATGGCCGACTTCGGCGTGCTGCACAGGAACGAGCTGTCAGGCGCGCTGACAGGCCTCACCCGGGTCCGCCGCTTCCAGCAGGATGATGCTCATATCTTCTGCACCATGGACCAGGTGAGGCACGCACTCAAGCACTGACAAGTTCAAGTTCCAAGTTCACACATTCTGGAGTATGATGAAAAGAGATGACTGATGAAGCCTCTACATTTAGAGCAGGGGTGTCAAACTCAACGCCCGAGGCCCAAATCCGGCCCGCGACCTCATTGAATGTGGCCCGCAAGAGCTTGCAAAGAATATAATATACAATACAATTGGTGTACTTGTTGAATATTTGCTTTCAATTATTTTCCCTAAACTTCTGCTTCAGGCGTAGTTATTTATGAAGTTATTACCAGAACAGATAATAATCCAATGCACAGCCAATAATGTAATGTAAAACATTATTTCATATATATTTATATAGTCTTAAAGTTACAACCGGCCCTTTGAGTGCAACCATAATGCTAATGTGGCCCGCAATGAAATTGAGTTGGACACCCCTGATTTAGAGGCTAGTTCCACCAATATTGAGTATTCTGAACGCACCATATATATAGTCTGTGTTGTTGTGTGTGTGGGGGGGTCTACCAGGGACCATGATGGTTCCCTATACAGTAATGAACTAAAGTGGGAACCAAGCTATATAGAATTCCCTTTGGGTAAGCTATACTCTCATAGACTCCCCTTGTTGATTAAGTGTCAATAGATAACATCTTTCCTTCATATTAAAACCACTTATAAGCAACATTTCCATCACAGTGTTTTAACTCGCATGACAGAAAATGTGATTATCCTTCTCTCCCCCACAGCTCAACATTACAATTCCCCTCACCTTGAGTACTGTGTTTTAAACGTTTTAAAAAAATCAGAGGGTTACAGGAAACCTTCCATATAATAGTGTCTGGTAACAGTGACTCACTATAAACAAATGTAAAGTGTACACAGATTTCAGAAGATAGTGGCCGTTCAGTGACATGCCACAGTGGTATTATATCCTGATTGTGGGTAATGTAGGTGCCAGGTTTTGACAAGGTAGAAGAATGGGCGGAATAAAAAATATATATCACTGCTCTGCTGTGATGAGTGGCACAATATCATAGAAGTGTGATGCCAAATCATTCCAGTATTCTTTAGTACTGGACTTTATTTATACTAATATCATGTTCTATTGGCTGTACCATTTCATCGATGTTACAACTTGCCATTCAGACAAATAACAATATAATAATAGCCCAATAGCCCCGATATCATACAGTAAATTGACATTCTATAAATGAAAGAAACGATTCAAAACAAGTGAATCCATTTTCAGACAAAAGAAACTAGCACACAGTGGTAAACAAAGTGGGAGCCATCACAGTGTACTTTGCTTTCTGTGGCAAAGAACGTAAACCTGTTTGAGAAGCACAGTTCTGAAGGCTCTCAGTAAATCAGGGTCTTGCTGGCACACAATTTTCTTTTTTTAAATCAAATCAGGCAATGCTGTGAGTCACATTCCTAGGTTAAGAGAGAGGAATCTACTGCTACACCTACTTCTACAGCCTGGTGTTGCAAATTACCTGTTTAAGTGGCAATCTTTTATATTTAATTCCTGATTGATTTAACACAACCTTTTTACTGGCAGCAAAACCAACTATTGCTGTAATTTAATAAAGGAAGTCAGGCAATAATTGTCTAACTGCTAAAAGTGCTTTACCTCTCCAAGTGGATGGAGGTGTGCTGCATCTACGAGCTCACTGTGGCTGCCAACAATTACAGTTGCATGGTTTTATATAAACATTAGCGTGTTTGGTCACATGTAGTGGAAGATCTTTATCATATTATATTATTCTGATTCATCACATAGTTTAATTATTTGCAAATACCAAAACAAACAAAGGTGCAATCATTACATGAGAAATTAAACGTGTTGCTATGTCAAAAGAGATGATGCTAGTTCTCTTACATTTTGTTCTTGACCCCAGATTGAGGAAGAGATCAAAGGCTGCCTGGACTTCCTGCGCACTGTGTACAACGTGTTTGGCTTCTCTTTCAAACTCAACCTCTCCACAAGACCAGAGAAGTACCTGGGAGAGCCGGAGGTCTGGGAACAAGCAGAAAAGGTAATCAGAAGCCCTCTTGTTTCTGTCATATGGTAATGGGAATGTGAACAGCACACTCTCACAAAGCCTCAGTGAAGATGATCTGTGATATTATCAAAATGGAAATGTTGGAGCCACTTCACAGACAGCGAATGCTCGTGTGAACCCAGATAACATTTATATGTTAATGAATGAGATTTATTCGGCAGAGCTTATATCAGTTCTGAAGCAGAAAATGCCTGTTCATCTCCAGAGGATCTACAAGTGCCGTCACTGTCTGCCTTTGCTGTCAAATGAAATTCACCCTCTGTGGACCAGCTCCAGATTTTACATCTTGTTTGGTTTAGCTTTATGCTTCTCTGGGATGGAGCAGGCAGTGTTTTAAACTCTTAAAGAAAGTAATAACAAGAGTGAGTCATTTAAACTGAGTGATAATGAGTCTATTTCTCTGGGCTCTCTGCACCATGAGTGTCTCTCTCGGGACAACTCCAAGTCTAACAGATGGATCTGTAAAACTAAACGACAGTTGTTGGATAAAGGTCAGCGCCACAACTTAACTCCATTGTTTTATCAGTAGCATCGGTATATGAAGTATTCACAAATGCTTTTTAGTGAGGCAAGCCTCTTAATGACATGCAGCTTGCCTTGAATTTTACAGCAGGACGAGAATGTATTTACATTTGTTTTTCTCTTGATCTGATTGTTTAGAGGCAGTTGTGTAATATAGTTAGTACTGTACTTCTTTCCAGTGGCGCAACTTTCGTTGCAGTTGTATGTCTTAAGTGTAATTTGGCATGCTTTTATTTTGAAGGCAATTTTACGCTGTTGACAGGAAGTTGTTGTTGCTATGGAAACAAGAAAAGCTTCACAGCGGGTGGAACTTGTCATAAAGTCGTTTGTTATTGCACTGTCATTTGACATTACTCTCTCGTTGAGTTACTATAGCTGGCCCTCTGTGAATTCATAGCAGGACCACCAATCAGCTCCTCTCTTCACAGTAACTCGCAGAGAGGCCAAAAGAAGCTTCTTTCATTTAACCCTTCACATTCAAACTGAACAGGCATATTCGAAGGATTATTTTTTTGGAAATGTTATTTTAAATACAATTAAATCAAGTTATTTTGGTAAAACTAATGAAAAATATACCAAAAAAATATTAACTTGAGGATATCTATTTTACTTAATACTGGTAATCCACTATTTTGAGGGCAATAATGTTCTTTTAACCAACTACATTTATTTGAGAAAATTAGTTACTTGTTACTTTTAGATCATTTTTTTTTACTTTTATAGATTCAGATTACTAGCTATTAAGTAATTAAAAGTAGACCCACTTTTCCAGCTGTCATAAACACATTAGTAAATCCAGTTATTTAATATATAATTATACAATGGGACATTATGCAAAATAAGTACATTTTGATGCCAATACTTTTGTACTTTTACTTAAGTAAGACTTTTACTTGTAACAATATTTTTACACTGTATTATTTCTACTCAAACTTAAAGGGGACCTATCATGCAAAATGCACTTTGTGATGTCTTTTATACATAAATATGTGTCCCCAGTGCGTCGAGGAACTCACGCAGCGTCAGAAAATAAAACCCTCTCTCTTTTCCTCCGTACCCAAATCTTTTAAAAACGGGTGTACAACGAGCGGATACAGATTTGCTGCCGATCTGACGTCAAATCGGCAGCGGACCCACAGAAAGTTGCTATCAGAAACAATGCCTGACGTGTTTGACGTAATCTCGTCTTTGTTTACATTAGCAAGCCTCGCTAACACTCAGAGCTAACCTGTACTGTAGAGCACATAGGGTTGCAAAATTCCGGGAATTTTCAAAGATGGAAACTTTCCACGGGAATTAACGGAAATTTATGGGAATAAACTGGGAATTTTCAAAATTGAAGGTTGGCTCTTCATAGGGAACTTAAATATAGTTGGGGAAAGTATATTTTAGCATAATCTTGACTAAAACAAACAGATGCCATTCAAGTACACTTGAATATCCATGCCATAGCACACTGCTTACTGCATGGCTGTTGAGACCACACAAAGGTTCGCAACAGGCTCACAAATGTGAGAGTGGAAAAACTGGTTGGCATTCGGGCAAACCTAAGGCTCTTTGAGCCTGACACAGAGCCATCCTCAACAAGGCTGGACAGTGACACTGAAGAGGAAGACTCAGAGTTGGATGTTGATGAGGCCCAGGAAGAGCCCGTTGACTGAAAGGGTTTAGCAAAAATGCAGAGGATCGCTTGAAGGAAGATTTGCATGTTTAATGGGACTTTTTGGAGGGAGAAGGGCTCTTTTCATTTAACATTTTGAATGGGACTTTGTGGGGATTTTTGGATGGGGGGTGCATTTTTGAATGAGTGGGGATGAGTAACATTTAACTCAACATTCCTGTTTTTGTTCTTCAATGAAACAAATAATTGTTCAATAAAATAATTAAAACTTGTTCTGTTCTACTTAAAAAAAAAAAAAAATCATGTTTTTTTTTGTTTAATTTTGCATTGAATATTTCCAAAATTCCCCAGCTTAACTTTCCATGGAAACTTTCCGCCCCTTTGCAACCCTAAGAGCACATGTGTTTAAAAAGCAGGAAATAAAAAAAAGTCACCTTGTGATAAACCCGCAAGAGAAAAAGCATTTGAGCTCCATACTGTTTCAGAAATAACCTTTGATGTGGTTTAGAACAGGATGGCGTTTTATCACAGCAGAATTTAACTTTATCTCCGGTAGAATTCTGATCAGGCATTAGCTCTGCCTCCTCTTTTTTTTTTTTTCAAGCTAAGGACCCAAAATCCGTGTTTCTCTAACAGGGCTGCAAAAGAGGGGTATGAGGCATGGCTACAATGGGTGATCTGTTTGGTATTTTAAGCAAGAAACTTCACAGACATGTTTTGTATAGGTATGGCCCTACAATATATTTTTCCAATATAGCATAATAGGTCCACTTTAAAGTGGACCTATCATGCTATATTTGAATAATATATTGTAGGGCCATACCTATATAAGGTATATTTAAACGTTTTCTTTTTCAAAATACCAAACAGATCATGCATTTTAGCCATGCCTCATTTCGCTCTATTTTGCTCTCCTCCACCCTGTCTTTGCATGCGCTGCAGCTGACCATGCCCCCCTGCAAAGGAGGGGGCCGAGTTACGAGCGTCATGTTACCATGCCACGGCAACCTCTCATTCCCCTGATAGGTGGAGAGTTGGCCATATAGGCGGAGCTCCTCTGTCCTGACGTCAGAAATGTTCAAATCTGGATCAGTTTTTATCAGATCCGTTGCAGCCCCGTTTTTAGAGATTTGGGTATGGAGGAAAAGAGAGAGGGTTGTGTTTTCTGACACTTGGTGAGTTCCCTGGAACACCGGGGACACGTATTCATGTATAAAAGACGTACAAAAGTGCATTTTGCATGATAGGTCGCTTTTAAGTAAAACAAGTACTTCTACCACCACTGTTTAGAAGTACATACATCCAGTGCAGGTTGCAATGGTTTGCTTGACTCGAGCCACAAGAACGTTTGCGTTCCCCTCCACACCGCCGTTTTTACGTTGTCTGTCTAAGAAATGATGATGAGGACATTTCGGACATGGATGTGGACATTACCTTTTCTGGTTGGCACAGGCAGTGATTCAGTTTATTTTTATACATTTGAAAAATCATTACAGAATAAGCTGAGGCTTTTTATGCCTCACTGTTCCCAATCATTTGTCATCTCTCTCTTTATTGAGATGACATAAAAGAGGAAGCAGAACACACACTGTGGCCCGCAGGGGACTGTCATCTCATTCATACTTTAATATGTTCTCAATTACTCAATGGGAATAGTAAAATATGATCTAAGTTAATTATGTATACGGGTACTTATTGGTATTTTATAACTGCTAAATAGTTCCTTTTTCATTTCCGCCCCTAGTTTATAGTCAGTGTTTTGATTGGTCTGTCCTCACTGTTTTATTGTAACTTCATTTTCAATCATGTCTTTTCCCACTGGCAGCAGTGGAAGTTGTTTTTTATCACATTGTTTTATTAACAATCAATCCAGTGGCCGCAGTAACCTTTTAAAAATCAACACCTATAAATTGCTGATGGATATTGTGCTGCTGCATAATAATAATAATAATAGTACACCTCTCAGTTAGTCACAGTCTTCAAAACAAGAATAACATTCTGCAATAAAATATTTGGAGCAGTAAAAAAGTTAATTATAGATGCCTTAAAGGTTTAGAGCTTTTATTGACATGCAAGTCCACTTTTCTCTGAGTAAAACATTTTCTAAATTCAGCACTGGCTTTTTCTGATTAATGTGTGCTTGTGCTGAAGTGGAAAATGATATACAAGAAAGAGTGACTCTCCAACTTGGTCCAGTGACTGGAACAGAACTTGCTGCATGTTTCCCTCACCTCATTAACTCCCTCAAGCAACCATAAAATATTATTGAGACGTTAACATTTCTCAGTTCAGTGATTAGTTCCAGATGAAGGAAATGTCAGGTCCAAGTATACAGCTTTTGCTTAACACCACTGTTATCTGCATGTTGGTCAGCCTTTGATATTGTAACCAAACAGTAATTGTTTGTTTTTCCAGCAACTGGAGAACAGCTTGAATGAATTTGGGGAGAAATGGATTCTGAACCCCGGTGATGGAGCTTTTTATGGACCAAAGGTGAGCTGTGTGCCGCAGTAATGATGTGCTTTCACTGTGAAACAGCAGGAGGGCTTCTGCTGATTGCTTGTGTCGTTTCTGTGCAGATTGACATTCAGATCAAGGATGCCATCGGCCGCTACCATCAGTGTGCCACAATTCAGCTGGACTTCCAGCTGCCGATCCGCTTCAACCTCACCTACGTCGGGTAGCTCTACTGCTGCTTTTATAAACATTTTTAAATAAAATGGCAGAGGAATATAAAATCATTTTTGATCCTGCAAATGCACATACATCATAGCATTTAACAGAATGTTGTACAACTAACATTATCAGAGATGGACAAAAAATAGTTTAGTTTATGACGGATGGAAAAACATCTAAAGCTAATGTGAAAATAGGATAGACTTAAATGAAACTATATGATGTGCATTCATGGTGATGTATAATTTCAAGACTCTATATATTTAAAATGTATTGTAATGATCTGTAACTGTTTTTACTGTCTTAAGAAAACTGTTTCCTTTTCTCTCTTTGTGTGTGTTCCTAATTTTCTCCCATCCTTTAAATAATTGTGTAGCCATGATAGTGACGACAAGAAGAGACCAGTGATCATCCACAGAGCTATCCTGGGATCAGTTGAGAGGATGATCGCCATTCTGACTGAAAACTACGGCGGAAAATGGTTCGTTAACAATCATAAAACAATTAGTTTTTGTAAAGTATATTTTTGTTTCATTGTGTTTCCTCCTGAGCACTTTGAATGATTTTCAGATTGACTTAAGGTACATTTATTTATACAGATAACTGCTTTTAATGCTAACCAGTGGAATGTGTGATGTTCTGCTTCAGGCCTCTGTGGCTCTCTCCTAACCAGGTGATGGTGGTGCCTGTGGGACCGACCTGTGAGGAGTACGCTCAGAAGGTAAACACCGACCATAGCTACTACGGTCCACATTCCCGCTCCAAAAACAAGAATTAATCATACATTGAACTCATAAAAGTGTTAGCTAAGAATAAAGAATTACGTCCAATAGGGCAAAGTCATGACCAGACAATCATACAGGATGTGATCAAGCTCTATTTAGCGAGATCACCTTCCACTCTTTTGGGGGAACTGAGACGGTGCTCAGTAGAGTTGTGATTTATTTCTATTTTTATAAATCATGTTATTATTTGCCTTCATTTTGACTTCCAAACACATTTGACTAATCTGTTGGCTTGTTTAAAACCTGTTCATTTCCTCTTTAACTGATGGCCAGACCAGCAATAATAAAAGAAAAGTTGTTACAGGCTTTGTTTGCCTTTTTAAAATGCGTGGAACCTGGAATTAGTCTTTTTTTGTGTTGTATGTACAAAAAGTCCATTTGTAAAATAAGCAGCTGCACAGTCCTGATAGCCATGTAATTGCAGAAAGCAGCAGGTCCACACAGTGTGATCATAACGGCTGCCGAAACACAATCATCATTGCAGCCAAATTGCCAACATGTACAAAATGTTTTAGTCCTCATTTGAAAAAAACTACAATTTTTAGAAGTCTAATAAAAAATGATTTAGCTTTTGACACGTATGCTGGTGAGGCCTTAACTATTTGTTGTAAATGTTGCAGGTGAAGCAGGAGTTCCACAGCAACGGCTTCATGTCTGAGGTGGACCTGGACCCCGGCTGCACTCTGAACAAGAAGATCAGAAACGCTCAGTTGGCGCAGTACAACTTCATCCTGGGTCAGTGCAACACTCTGTCTCTCACTCCCCTGTCTCTTTATCTTTTGTCATCTTCTGCTCGCTGTCCATCTAGATATTGATTTTTTTTTTTTGTCTCTTTGCATGCTTGGAAAAGTGGTGGGAGAGAAGGAGAAGACGAGCAACACTGTAAATGTGCGCACCCGGGACAACAAAGTGCACGGCGAGCGCACTGTGGAGGAGTGCATCGAGCGTCTGCAGCAGCTGAAGACCTGCAAGAGCCGGAACGCTGAGGAGGACTTCTGATCATCCCACACTCAGATATCAGCTCGCTCTCTCAACAGCACCGAGAGCTTTTAACTTTAAAAGAACCGTGTGGTTGAATCAGTTTGTGGTACTGCTATCACATGTTGCCTCGTCTCTGCTTCTTACTCGTTGGAAAATCATTTTTCTTTGATTTGACAATTGTGTCTTCTATCGCCTCTTTACTGTGTCGCTATGATTTCGGTATTTCGTTTTCCTTGGAAGCAATATTTCTGTCCATAACCCATCTGATTAGAGAGATACATTTAGGTAAACTCCTATGTGATAAGGTCTTTGAACAGCTGATGCATAAACTGATTTAAAACAGAGAGGAAATGGTTCGTTACACTGTCCGAACAGTCATTCTTTCTTCAGGGAATCGTACACGAGTTACAATTTTGTTAATTAAACAAGATCTATTCTTAATCTTTTTGTTGTGTTTTTTTGTCATTTTCTAAAATGTAGTGTAGGTGTCATTTTCTTTTCTTTCCTCTAATGTTCTTAATTGTGCACCAGCAAACAAGCCTAACATGAGTTATTATAGGCATTAAAAACATAACATAATTATAGCAATAAATGTTTTGTGCAGCTTTCAATAGTTACTGAGATCTAGAAGAATTAGTAAAATATGAAGTTATAGGTCCTACTAGCAATCTACATAACTTGTGAAATGTGTTTTTCAAACCACAACTCAACTCACAAGTTTGAGATCCTGCATTTCGACACCAAAGTGGAAATTGTTTGAGAGTTAGAGTGGAAACATTTAATTTTCCACAAGAGAGGTGGAGTTTCTGAGTGATGCTGTTCCGCTACAGTAAAAAGGAGCCTTATCTTCCTCCAGTAGTGAATCACCAGGAAGGAAATTGTTGATGTGCTGGAGGGTAAACAGCTGATGCTTCTCATTATTACATGCTGCCTGAACTCAGACCATTACTTCTGCTGTCTGCATCATCACATCCAGGTATGAGGGATATTATATATCCTAATTCTCTGTCTACTAGGCTTTATACAACAGTCTTTCGTGGAAAGAAAATGAGTCAAATTGCTGGATGAAACGTGCAGTAGAGATAAGGCAAATATGTGCATATTACTAGTAATGCTCCAGTTTCAGATTTCTCCAGCGGTTTTCTATTTCTGCTCGTAACGTGGAAATGTACTTGGCCCACTTCACTTCGTTTTTTAACAGTTTTTAATGACACTCAGTCTTCGATTATTATTCCCACCACTAGTGGGTGCTATGTCTTTGTAATGGAGCTGCAACAGACCAACAGTGAGAGCAATGTGCTTCAGCAGTTTAACATCTGTGAAAAAATGCCCTTACATAAATCAGTGCCAAAGTACTTCATGTTAAGGTGAACAACTCTAAAGAGGAACTAAAACATCTTTATGATTGTCTCTATGCATACTAAGGTTCAGTGTTCATGAAGTACTTAACAGTTATAACATTTGGAAACTCCTGCCCTGAAACTGCTTACTGTTACATGTTTTATTTGGAAGTGAATTATTGACATTTTGCAGACTCCTCCCATTAATCTAAGTAGGAACATTATCACCAAGGTTGGAGTGAAAGATGTACTCACACATGCAGAAGAGGCAGTGGGCGCTCCACTCTGAGAGCAGCCAAAGGAAAACATTGATTTTGGCTGCTCTACAAGTTGCAGGTAATTAAAATAAGTGAGCCCATCAGTTTTTTGGCCAACTTGAACTTTTCAGCACCAAATAAAATGTGTTCACAGGTTTGGTTTCCTGTTGGTCAAAATGTACCTGAGACACAGGGATGTGAGGGTTTCAGTTTTATAAAATAGTCAGTAGGGGCTTGGACTGGGAGCCGCAGGGTCGCTGGTTCAGGTCCCCGACCAGACCTACAAAGTGGTGGTGTGGACTGCTACTTGGAGAGGTCCCCGTTCACCTCCTGGGCCCTGCCGTGGTGCCCTTGAGCAAGGCACCGGACAACCCCCTTCCCCCCGGGCGCTGTACAATAGCTGCCCACTGCTCCTAGTACTAGACTCCTGGTACTAGGATGGGTTAAAAGCAGAGAACAAATGTCACTGTGTGTGCTGTGTGCTCTGCATGTGTGACCATTGAAGAGGGTTTCATCCCTCCTATAAAAAAATGCAAACATCAATGCCTTCCTATTCCTTAAAGTACCATGACTATCGGAGATGTTTATTATTTAGGTTTGCTTCTCTAAGGAAATAAGCGAGAGAAAATAATAGGGGGGGAATTAAGACATTAGGTTTAAAAGAGTTGATAAAAGTAAGTAACCCTCATATCGATTCTGACCACAAGGTGGAACAGCTGAACCAGGATCTTGTGGGGGTGGGGGAAGGAGTGGGGCTAATGTCAGTGGAGTGTGGGAGAAAAAAACATTTTGATAAGGGGTTAATGAAAAAAGTCAATGGAGTAGGAGAGTGTCAACAGACAGAGTGAGACAGCCAGAAGTCTCCTGGGAGGCGGCTGTTGACTCTGAGCCTCCCTGTGAATCCCCGCTCTCTCGCACCGTTGGATCCTTCCTGAATGCTTCACTGACAACCTGGCCATGAAGGGTCACAACGCTTCAGTGAACTGAGCAAACTTTTCTCTCTCTAGCCACACATGCATTCTAAAGGTATCGATTCACATGTTAGAAAAGGTCCCACTGCTGCCGCTCTTTACTTAGATGATGCTGGGATAAGTCACACGAAAACCTTAGAAGTGAACTCTCTTTTTATGATGAGAAATGCAGGTTATTAGTCCATAGTAGTAGTAGTAGTAGTAGTAGTTTCTTTCATTTTTTAAGGACTTTGTTTCCCAAGTACTCGATAGGTTGACAATTGAGTAAGCATGCTTATTTGCTTTTTTGCCAAGAGTTAGATGATAAATATAATGCCGCTGCCATGTCTGAACGCCAACATAGTGTATGCGTTTCTCTTTTATCTCAACTTTTGTGGAGCTCGATGCACATTCACCAGCCCTGATTGACCTTACAATGAGAAGAACAGCAAAGAAAAGGTGTGTCGCATCAGTGAGGTTCTCCAAAAGAATCAAAACAGCTGTCAATTACCCTCAACTGTGGGTATTTAAAGCATCACCACTAATTCATCACATAAACCAGGGACCGCACTAAAAACATCTGAGGGCCGTCTCTGGCCGGCGGGCCTCACTTTAGGATGCTTCGTACTATACTATCAATGTTTTTTATGACATCCTATACTATGACTTTTCATGACATTTTAATGGCATGATAAACCATCATTTTGTATGACCTTTTTTTAGGACATTTTACTATGAGTTTTTGTGGGAGGATTTTTATGGTATACCATACTTTGACTAAATGGCATACTATAATTGATATTACATTTTATTATTTAAATAAACTATACCAAGAATTTATGTCATAGTATAGTATGTAGCATAAAAAAGTCAGCAAAGTATGCACTACCGTTAACACTAGTTAGTTATGCATTGATGCTAGTTCCAACCGCTAGCTTTCTACAAGTTGTTGTTTCTTACCTGACTGACGCTTGTCAGGTAGGCGCAGTTTAGCGCAGTAGTGTAAATGTAAGCTATTAAACAAATGATTAAAGTAGAATGTATCCGCTTTATGTCAGGGGCGTTACAAAATAATTCTGAGGTCCACCACGAGAGACTACGCTGTAAGTTATCATTGTTGTGATATCTTAGTCATCATAATTTAACATCAGATAGATTATTAAAAATAGATGATGGCTCAAATGTCAATAAAAAGAGTTGTGAAATAATATTAACTGCAGGATATCTGCAATCGCCCTGGCAAAAGTGAAGCTGGACCCAGCAGCCAGTTAGATTTGAATAAAGATTGTAAAGAGCGAAAAAAGGCTGGCATCATCTCTAAGGCTAACTAATCTAACTAGTCATCAACAATTTGCCATTTCAGCAGGGTTAACAGGTTGTTTTTTCGTCTTTTGAAAACAAAACTACAGAGGATAGATTTGTGGCCGCAGTTGACAGGTTTCTCTGTTACAGTGTGTGTAGCAGAAATCTGACTAACTGTCTAACTATTGACATGTCATATGAATTTCAAATCATCCTTTTTTTATGTGATGTACTGTAACCCCATCTGAAGAGATATTGTTGCATTATTTTCTCAAATAGTTTGGTTAGGTTTGCAGTCCCACCAACATTTTGAGTTCCAACAGCTGCATTTTCAAATATGTATCAACTATTTTTGGCTAATTATTTAAACTAGTTATCATTTATTTTAGGCTAAGTATGTCATTGTTTTTCTGTTTACTTTTTCATCTCACCATGGCGACAGGCAGAAGTCAGTGTAGTTGTGTATTCAGTCTGTAAGATGTATGTTAACGTTCTTTTCTCTCTACTTTTTTCCAGCAGTTACAGCCAAAATCTAAACAGCCTCCCCTGTGACACACTCGTGTTTTTACCTCGCCTCCACACATTCATCCCCAAGTCATGTTGCTTCTGGACTAAAAACATGCATATTTGAATGGTTACGAACTGTTTTCTTCTCTGGGCACTGTTCTTAGTCAGCAGTGACTACTACCACCCCTACCACCCCCACACACACCCCCCCTACCACCCCCCCACACACACACACACACCCCTACCACCCCCCCCACACACACACACACAAAACACAACCCCGAATTATGGTCAGCCGCTTGTGAAGTTAGTTTTGCTTGGGAAAACCAAGCTGCCATCTTTAATATCATAATGTTACCAAATTATATGGTTCTAATTGGGAACTGTTTGATCACACTTTCTGGCATCTAGAAAGCCTGCGTGTGACCTTAACAGGAGTCTTTTCTCATCCCAAAGTATGACCTTTGCTTCTGACCCAGCATAAATTAAGTAAACCACTTTACACCAAGGAGAGGCCCTCGCCACCAGTCACACCCTGCATGTAGCAAACATCAACAACTCACTGGGATTGTCTCTGATGTAGGTCTGGAGCATCTGCACACACAGCTGCATACAGTAGTTAAGTTAGGCGTGAGGATAGAAAACAAAAGTACAGAGGATAGATTTGTGGCAGCAGTTGACAGGTTTCTCAGTTACAGTGTGAGTAGCAGAAATCTGGTCTAACTGATGACATGTCATATGAATTTCAAATCATCATCCTTTTTTTATGTGATGTACTTTAACCCCATTTGAAGAGATATTGTTACATTATTTTCTCAAATAGTATAGTTTGGTTAGGTTTGCATTCCCACCACCATTTTGAGTCCCATCAGCTGGATCCTCACATATTTATCAACTATTTTTTGCTATTATTTATATAGTGATCAATTATTTTAGGTTAAGTATTTCCATAGATTAGTTCAAAACGTAAAGTGTATTCATACACTGTATTCATACATTTTAGCTTATCAGTTCAGTAGATAATTACATTTGCTTACATTATTTACTTTCAGTTGTTTAATCATACGGCTCACAATATATATTGTTGTT